TCCCTTGCGCAAGAATCTTTCATAATTTTTTCCAGAGAAATGACTGGCAAAAACAGAAGTCAAATTTGAAATTAGCGCTCCAAAGCGAGCGTAATGGTATACATCTCATTTCAAAGGCCACGGACACCGAGTATCGTCCCCTTTTCAGAAATCAAAAAGCAGAAAACTTTTTTTTGAAATTTCCAAAACTTGGTACAACTAGACTCGTAATCATAATTACAAATGGCTGCGAAGGGCGCGCCCCATGACCCGATGCAGATCTCGCTTCCGCGCAGGACTTCCGTCGACTTACTGCGCACACTTTCTAAGTTTCAACGCGTAGCAAGTGACGCTTAAGGAAAGGCAAGTCTCTTTAAGTGGAAGATCACAAGAAAACTTAGTGCTTTTCTCGTGTTAAAGATGATTTGCTACCTGGTTTTTTCGTGCTGAGGATGGTAGTGACAGCAGATATGATGAAAGTGGAGATGATATAGACGACAGGTCTTTTTTTGTAACTTTCTTTTTGTATGTAACGTCGAGTCATTTGTAACTTAATATGTGAGACTGCACACTAAGTCCTATGAGCGACGGCACCCTTACTGGTAACTTTCCAGTGAAACATTTTTTATCCTAACAAAGTGTACAAATGTGTTCTATTGACTAGCTTGTAATCAAGAAAAACAAAAGAGACAAGGAAACAAGCAGAAATCGCTGGAAACGAGCAGGTTCTAGTTTTGTTGTTTGTCAGTTAGCGTGCTTGGTGTGCACTACACATATTAAGTTACGAATGACTCGACGTTATACACTTTCTAATAGAAGTTTTCTTGATGGAAGCTGCGGGCAACCGACTATTCCCTGTACTTGTACTTTTACTTGTGTACATTGAAACCTAATCACTTTCATTGTGTGTTTACAATAACTGATTAAGTTTTCTAGTACGTTTCTTTCGCACAACTAGGTTGAACGGCATCTGCATGCTTGCTTGCTTGAGACTGTTCGAAACTACGACAAAAAAAGCCTTGTTCACGAACTTGGCTTTAACTTCCAATGCTAATAAAGTGCAAGGACAGCGAATTCTCTGCCAAGTGCTGCCCAGGAAAAGCTTTTTTCATAATATTGCATTCGCATGGAAGTTTGTCTTTTGACTGTAATAGTGGTAGTGCAATCTAAGGCGTGATACTCAGAGTGAATTAAAGCGGCAAAAGCAAGTGGCTGTATGAAACAAACATGCAGACAGTTTCAGTAGTAGTACATTTTAAGCTTATCCCTCCATTCATAAAATCACTAACGAGAAGAAAAATTGGCGTGGTATTTATTTGAAGCTAGAAGTACTGTCAAAATGATGAACAAGGTGAAGCTATCGAACCAAAACCGGCTACAGTGGTCATTCAGAAGTTAGCACCACCAACCTGTACTGCAGCTTACCTCTTGTAATGGCTGCCTTGTGAAGGAAACACACTTTATAGAGGCTACGTTTCTTTTGTGCAGAACCACATTTTCGCTTTCAAGAACATTCCTTTAAGGCTCAATGGAAAAGGAGGCCGAAATTTGAAACTCAAAAACTTGCCGTCTAATGCCGAAATCACACTCTTAGGTATGTGTTCGACATCAAAAATAGTTGAGGACTCTTGTTTTTAGACTTTGGTGAAGACACAATCGGTTGTGGTTATCCAGAACTTAAAACAGCGACGGTCAATGTCGTCAGTACAAAGTGAAGCTAGAGTGAGTTCTCCAAAAAAAAATTATAGTTTCAGTTTTTTACAGCTTTTTTGCAAGTCTCGGAGAAAAAAAGAGGAGAGGCGGAAGTATACGAATAGGATGGCACACAAGAGGATTGCGTATAGGCGACAGTTTTCCAAAGCTCTCCAAATGGAAAGAAGCGCGAAGCGCGCACGCCCGAATGATGACTGCTAATGGTTCGTTCATAAGCCGGTATGCGCTGCCGTCGTAAATGATAAGGATGTGACCACTTTTTGAGTTTTTGCGTTCTTCAGTTTGATAGGTTTTTGGAAGAGAGCTGCGGTTTTAATTTGTTTAATTTCTTTACAAAATCCATTTGTTCTGTTGTTTATGCAAATAATTCTGTGTGATGATTGGGTTGTGTCCCTCAATTGTTATCTTAAGCATAATTACTGAAATTTCTAATAAAAATTGATATTTTGTGTTGTTGTGATTTCTGAAAAAAAATATTTGTAACATCTATGACAGAGAGCGCACCAACATCCGCAACGACCGCGCCAACAGCCGCAAAGACCGGGCGAGCATCCACAATGACTGCATCAAATCACACCGGCTGAGTGCACAACGTTTGCATTGCTGGCAGCTGAGCGCTTGCAATGACCGGGTGGACGGTCGCCTATACCGGCTGGGGGCTCGTCCGCCAGACGACCCGGAAAAGTGAGATCCGCTCCCCTGGCACTTGTGGCCGCTCGTCCGGAAATATTGCCTGAGCATGTACGCGGAGAATAAAAACGAGCAACTTCGCTTCATTCAAATCAAACAGCGAAAGCTACGTGCGACGGCTACATCGACCTGTGGGATGCCTTGGCCGAAAATGGACATGTCACTAAGCATGAGCAAATGGTCATACCTACCATCTTCCTTACGACCCACGCCACATGCACGAACACGCTCAGGACGCCTTCATCTATGTGAGAAACAGGCGTGCAAAGACTCTAGGACTTCCAAGATAACATACTTGGAACAGTTGAAAAAAGAATTAGGCATGAAAAAGCAAGGTGCTGAAGTTGCCGGACATCACGTACGAGCAGCAGATGTTTTAGTACATGCATTTACTGCAAAACTCATACATGCCATGCTTAAACTCCAGATTGTTACTCTATGGACCGGAGTCATTCAAAACATTCGGAAGCCGACGGAGAAGTGTGCGAGACTGAGACTTCTTTGTACTTCTCCCAAAGTGCTTAAGAATTTGATTGTATGTGAGTCATGAAGATTATGGCGTCGCAGCTGCGCAGCAAAACTTGTCGCAGATGCTTCTGCAGGAATTCTATCTACCGCTGATCATCTACAAGCGAGCCAAGTCTTCGAAAAATTCTTTTTACACTGAAGCATGCCGAAGAATGGCTCGATTGGAGATAATCAGTGGTAAGATAGAATTCTCGCAAATCTGCGACAAGTTTCGCTGCGCAATTGCGACAGCTCTTCGTCCTAATCTTGTAAGCGTATACAATCAAATCCTCAAGCACTCCGGGAAAAGTACAAAGCAGCTTTGAGTAAAGACATACCCAGAAAATATTGCAGAAAGCACCCTCTGCAGATGACGACTACTCAGCTGAGATAGAGTCGTCCTCATCCCACTGGTTGGTCGGTGGTCGGATTTGAATTCGAAGTGGAGCAGACCGGCCGCGGCAGAGCGCGGCAGAACGCCCTTTACATGAGCTTTTCTCCTATTTTCGTCGTGTTTCTTTGCCATCTTTCGTTTTGCGGCAATGATTAGTTTGGCGCTATCCGGCTATCCGGACCCCAAGATTTTTTTGTGGTAGTGCTTGCTCAAAGTTCGTTATAAGGGTTATCTTAAGGGCCGGGCATACTTCGCGATTTCAATCGCGACGCGATTTGGCAATAATCCAGGTGTCCATAATTCATTGTAAGCACATTATAAATGTACAGAAGATAGGGCATTTCATCAACGTAAGTTATACACACTATGCATAAGCAGTTTGCTAATGTTGGATCCGAAGACTTCTGGAGAATTGAAATCGCGTCGCGACTGAAATCGCGTGAAGTATGAACGGCCCTTTACATACTGATTACAGATATCACACTTTCTCCGCAGAACTCTTCCCGTGTGGTTACGATAGGTGTACGGTAGGAAGTCAAAATCATGAATTTGGTTGTTGTTCGGTCCAGAGAACTTATTCGACATGCTGATTGCGAATTCTATAATCTCTCTGCATATTCGGACCTTTTCATAGAATTATGGTTGTTATACGGTATAAAATCGAGAACATAGATTTGCTTTAAACTTCGTCTAGGGTGGTCATTTAGCGCGCTGAACATGAATATCATGCTGATTTCGCAGGATAGTGCATTTTTTTGGTTTACGGTGGGTGTAGATGGGTCGAAGTTCCAGATTTGCTCAAAAACTCACCTGTAACGGCTCACAAGTATACTGCTTATGAATACGATGCTTGCTCGCTGTCACAACGCATTAGTGAAATTAAGTTTGAGTTGCAGAATTTATATGGACATTTTTTCGCTTTCGGGCCAATTTAAATCCCAAACATTCACGAAATGGGGAAATGGTTGTTTTGCATGAAGGTCTCCAGCGCTATCCTGATAACCTGTCCCAACGCCTAACGCACGCGGCAAATCTCCCTCCTCTTTTTGCTTAGGCAAAAGCCGCCGAAGGGTGTGTCGCGCGCGGCGCTTATACCACACAAATGCCATTATCATGGGGATTAAGCACGATATTCTTGAAACAGCACTTTAGGTAATTCTCTGTTAAGGTTTCAAGCAGGTTATGATTTTTACCCGCTGCCACACGAAATGACTACCATATCGTCATCAGCGGCTTGAATAACCCCCATATACCGAGTTTGAGCAAGACACACCATAAAAACATTTTAGGGCCCGGATAGCCGAATAACGCCATCAGTTTTTATAATTATCCTTACTTCTACCGATTTTATTGTTTTTTTTTGCAAAGTTTGAGCTATGGGGCTGGGGGTTGGTGAGGAAGGTAGGTGAGCATACTGATTACTCACACAGCGGGAATAGGGAATTGCATGTAGAAATGTGCACAGGTAAAAGTGTACAGGGATAGAAATGGAACCTTATCGTTTTTGACAGGGCCCCGCGGAGCCGGGTAAGCCAGCTATTCCTCTATAAAGTTTATAGAGTCACGTTTGTATATGGCGTGTTCGAGGATTGCGAGTACGGCGATCCTGTACATTATGTAACGCCCAGAGGGGGCACAATCAATGCCCCCTGTTCCAAAATCTTCCTTCCCCCTTCAAACGGTCAGCTTGTGATGCTAACGAAGCAAGGCAACTCACCAGTCAGACGATAGATCTCTATAGCTCGAAGAACGCGCGTCCGATTGTTGGGATGTACAAAGCGAGCTGATTCTGGATCAATCTTAAAAAAATGAGTGACTGACAGAACTGATCCAATTTCTTTTGATCAGCAGTCTGTGTCACCTCTTCAAGTTTTCGATAGAGTTCGGCGTTATTCAAATTCCGAAAATCTTCTTCATTTCCTCCAACGGCTAATCCTAATATCAGATTTTCAAAAAATAACATAAATAAAAACAAAAAAAACTAAAAACAAAACACAAAACATAAAAAAACCTGGAGTTTCGATAACATTCTCCTGAAATAGTAAACTTTCGACGTAATATGCTGTCCCACCCACAATAACGGGGATACGTCCGCGTCGTCTAATTTCCTGAAAAGTACACATAAAACTCCAAAAGTCGTTAAATCGCAGTAGCATTCAGTCTGCAAACGGAGATATCCTTAGATTATACGATAATATCAGCGTGGTTAAGATGATGAAGCAATGTCCATTCAACAATACTGCGAACTTCTCGAGGGCACCGTCACGCTACGTGCTGGATGCAGTGCTACTGCATCCAGCGGGGACAATTTTGACTGTATGAAAGCACAGAAAAGAAACTGCGGAAGTGCACGAAAAGAGAAGTTACGCGACGCAGTTGTGCAATTTGTGTGGACCTATAACCTCAATTCTGTGATTACTGCGATGATGAAAAGAGAGGGTAGAATCTTTTAAACTCCTCAGCATGCCGATCATGATAACGATATTGGTTTGACGTTGTAAATTTGCGCGACCGGTGAGTAATGTTCCATACACTTGCTTCCGATAGCGGAAATATCTCTTTAATGCGCTATCGACACTGTGATCGTAATTAGCACACTAAACAATCCTTCTTACAAGAAAAAGATATCGTAAATTGGAGACTGTACACGATATGTACATCAATAGTTGCGTCTCGGTACAATGACTTCAGAGCTCAATTCTAGATTTGCGGAACAACTTGCTGAAGCCATTTATGACGGCTTGAACCTACAAGTCGCCGTAGCCTTGCCTGAAAATACCTGAGGAAGACAACATGCACAAGACGGATAAGCGCAATAGGGAGTGTCTGTCTGTCCGGCTACAAATATGGAGATCGAGAGTGCGGATTCCGGTGCCGGCCAGGGCCTGGCAGGAGGTGGCATTTCAGAATTTTGAAAACGATATCCCCTTTGAAGCCAAAATTTCTTACGACTCCCTTTGACCCTATTTTTGACCCCCGTAAGTCCCTGACAAATAGATATACACAAATAATAAGATGGGCGGCCTCAGCGCTTATTATAGTAGTACTACATGGCTTTCCTGGTCCAGCCCGGGTCATCAAGGTTTCAGCTCAATGGGTTCATCCGCAAAGGAATCTATAAAAACATAGGGTCAAGATTTGCACAAACTTTGACGTTTGTATACCTAAGATACTACTCATTTATTAGTCAGCTGCGAAACTTTACAATTTACAATAACCGATTGCGATTGCAGCGCGCTTTCCGAGGCCGATCATTGCGCTGTGAACCCTATTTGGGGCTGGATCGAAGCGGTGCCTTGGTGGTTTTGGAAGCGGATTTGAACATATAGTGATACTCTCGATCTAGTTCACATTTATGTAAAAAAAAATCCGGGAAATTATGTGAAGGGAAGCAGGGAGCCACCCCAGGTGGCTCCCAGGTGGCGCGGGAGCCACCTAATTTCGAAAAACACTTACCATTTTTTAAATTCACATAAGTTTCTCATAATTCTTCATACTTTTTTTGTGCTCATGGTCCTCCAACTACACAGCAAATTTGGTGCCATATCGTTACTTTTGCATTGAAAACGAGCCTATTTTGTTATTTTCCTCTTACAAGAATTGCGATTTGAATTCCCGCCTGCGGGCAGGCTAGCGATCGGAGCACAGAATCTTCACATTGCTGGAATCTAAGTTCATAGGACAGTAGCATCAACAAGGAATGATGAATAAAGAATGATATGTGCATTGTTTATCGGTAAACAAAGGGGAAGTCGTATTTTGGGGTCCGGGCCAAAAACGATATCCAGCTTGTGAAAGCGCCACCCCCGCCGAGCCCTGGTGCCGGCCTTTGTCTTTGCGGTAGATGTATAAGCATCAAGTTTTGAAAAAGAAGCATTTTACTATGCAATTAGCTGTTCTTCTACTTTCAAAGAGCTTCAGATTTAAGTTTTGCCTTTTCCCACATTTTCCCAGATTTCTTATTGTAAAGTAAGAAAAAAATGGATGGACCACGAAGTGTGGAGAAAACGAATTGCTAGAGCCGAAATTTCAACAAAATAATTATAACAACGGTTTGCTTTCAAATCGATGCGGCGGAAAACGAAGAAATGAGAAAAACTCAAAAAAAAACAAAATCCTATTGCGGCACCGCTGCTCGGTCTCGTAACGAGCCAACAATCAACAGACAAAAAATTGGAAAAGTGCGGCGCCTCTTTGCGCGCAGATCATTTTATCCTTTAATCACCGAAAAAGAGATTAGATTGCTCTTCCTTCCTTACACACCGCTCTCTGAAAAAGTCCCTCCTTACACACCGTTAATAGTTTCAGAGACAGTGCATCAAGTGAAGGTTGTTCAAATATCTGCTCCCCAAGTGAAGTGAAGTTTGTTTATAGAGGGATAACGAAGAGAAGAAAGACGCAAAACAGACAGCAAAAGCAAAGAAAAGCTTGAAACCCAGAGAAAAACGTTGTAGTAAGTTTGAAATCTTTTATTTGGCGGCATTTGAAGTGCAGGTTTTCGCTCCAGGTCCAAGTGATCCACAACACGGGAAAACAAGAAAAGTAATTCCTTGTTTGTGTTTGTTTCAAAAAGAACAATGTTTTGGAAGTGATGATTGTCAAGAAGAAGATAAACAAGAAAAGCATGAGTCAAAAAAACGCACAGTTTTGTTTTAGCAAGTCGAAGTGCACGTTGAAGCCAATCTAGTTTTTGATGCGTCCCTCAAATTTTTACCCCCCCCCCCTCCCCCCGCCCTTGCTTCCTGAGATGTTGCCTAGATTGTTGCGCACATTATTTTGAGCAATGTTTACAACTTGGGAAGAAAATCGCTACGAAAACACTGAAAGGGGACAAGGTAAAGAGAAACGCACTTTTTACGATTTCTGACAAATCCACCGTAATCAAAGAAGTAACGGACGCTTAGACATTATAAATAAACAGAAGCAAAATCTATCAAATGTTCAAAAACCTTCAATAGTGTTAAAGTAAAGAAGAAACAAGGGATTTTCGAAAACATGGTTATTGCTTTTTTTGTTCAAATCAAGAAATGGAGTTTTGGGAAGTTGTCAGCGTAAAAGTAGAGGTCGAGTGCATCAATATGATATTTAGTTTGCTGAAGTTTGGTTCAGAACATCGAATAAAAGGGTACTAGAGCCAAATGCCCCGTGCACGTTTGAGGTAGCGAGGTAGCGGCAATGTGCAAAGACGCAGACGAGCAGGGGAAAAAGACCAGAGCTGACCAGGCATTTGGTTCTAGTCGTAGATCCCCTCGAAGTCTTACTAAAACCCTGCAACATCAAATATCATTCTGATCGTCATGCCAGACTAAGAACACTGACAACGTCCCAAGCGTTGGAAGTCGCCCATTAACGAGATAATCCAGCATTTTCGTGCGCAACTCTCTGCGCAGAACTTGAGCGCAGTTTGCGTTTTCATCGAACTCCAACAGCTTTCGCGATTTTCTGAAATTCAATCGTACTCTGATAAGAGATCAAATAAGAAATGTAGTCCTGATTTTTGAGAAGATTCTCACAAAAATCCCCCTTTGTAGCGTGAAAACTACGAAAACGCAACGCTTCGGTTTTGTGATGTATGTGAGATATCACCCCTATATCTTCTTCGTTCACATTCATTCCGATTAGTTATGATCATAATCCGGGGCGAAGCCCGAATGACTTTTGTTTTTCATTCTGGTGAAGGTTTCGTTCTTTTATTTCGCTTGAAGTGAAGGTTGTTACCAGAGTACATAAGTCTATGTATCAAGGGTATGCCTCCTTACTATTTTTCCTTTATTCACGTGCAGTCTTCGTTGTTCCTTTGCAGATTAACGGTTCTTTTCTTCTCCTTACGCAATCAGAATGTTCAAACAGCTTTTCAAAGATCGAAGCACGCTGCTGGACGTAGCTCCGAAATCGCGTCTTCCATTGGTCCATAGAGATCAATCTCTTAAGCGTCCAATCCTGGTAGCGCCATGTTGGCAAGCTCATTAACAGTTTCGCATTTACAGGAATGAAGGCGGCGGAACAAGTCCGTTCTCAGTCCCCGAACTCGACTTTGAAAAAAAAATACTTCAAAGTTCTCGCAGTTTTTTCTACCCCTTTTGCTTTGTCTTTGGCAACTTTTGAGTGCTCATTGTCTACATTTTGGGGCTTTTCTTATCTGTTTAAACGGAATGCGCTCAGACTTACCATTTGCGTTTATTCGCATGACCAAAGCGCTGTCATCATCCAGTTTGAATACTCTAGATAGCCCGCCCTATGGTTAACCAGTTTAAAGTGTCTCGACTGTTTTTTTTACGTGAGCATTTTCGTATGTACTCGGTCGCTAAGGTCAAGTCAACGGTCTTTCGTTGACCTCGTTTTCGATAAAGTCAAGCTTTGTCCTTTGACAAGCCTTCCCTTTCTGTGCGCGAATGTGTTTATGAGTCATCTGTTTTCCCAAAAAAACTCATTTTTATTCTCCTTCAAATCTGAAAGATCGAAGCACTTTTTTGTTTAATGACGATGTTGTTCGCTCTAGCATATTTGCGTAGTGTAGTGAGGCTTCTTCTGCTACGCGATGTTGCAATCTGCACTTAAAACGAACTAACAACAACTGCTGTTCGATCAAAGCGCTAATCTCCAGTGCTTTGGTTTTGCCGGGTCCATAGTCAGGCGGCTACCTTGGCCTGTCGCAACTCCATAGCCGTATCGGGCTTTTTAGCACGCTTGCTACTGTGTCTTCTTGTGGTTTGTTGGCTTTCTTTCGCTCCTCTGCGGACTTTACCTTTTCACGGAACGAGTAGCCGAGTGCGTATACGATGCACCATGCCACCTTTTCCTTTCCTAACAGACGAGGTAGCTGGACATTAAGATCCATTGTTTATTTCAAATTTCAGACGAACAGCATATTTGAAGGTTATCGAATTGCCGGAAGCATCATAGACATGTTCCATATCTCCATCCATTTCAAAACGTTCTTGATGTGCTGTCAACAGCAGATCCAGAGGCATGGTACTGAGTTGGTCCAGGTTCTACCACTGCTTCCCTCTACAGGCCAGACCTTACAATTTCTTAAACCAGTGGCTTGGCAAAATTGAGCATATTGAGATGGAATTAATTACCTCCCAAACAGGGAAATAAACCAAGC